CAAGAATCCCACTATTATCAGAAGAACCAGAGAGCACAGCCCATGCTTTGGACCTGAGGTCTCTTCTAACACCAGCGACAGAGACTGTGACACTGTTTGTGCAAGCTGGCATGGGACGAGAAGGCAATAGAAGTGGTAACAGCATTGGCGGCAGTGAAGGAGAACCAGAACTGGGTTCCCATCTGTGACTCCAGGCCTACAGTCAATGGCAGGGTGGGTTGATGTTGTTAGGTGCCATCGAGTTGTGTACCACTCACAGCGACCCTATGAACAGCAGGTCTGAACCCTGTTCATCCTGTACTGTCTCACAGTCTCTGACTCACCTGAGCCCGTCTCTGCAGTGTGTCAGTCCACCTGGTTGAGGGTCTTCCTCTCTTTCAGTGACCCTCCACCTTTCCAAGCATGGTGTCCTTCTTCAACAAATACCCTCTCCTATGAGTTATGCCATTAAAATAGCTTGGAAGCAGGAGTGGCATCCACTTCCGAAATGGCTTGCCTCCGGAAACTCTATGAACAGTGCTCAGGTCTTCTGTTCATAGGGTCGCTATGAGTCGTCTACAACTCGAGGGCACTTAACAACAATAACAATGACAACATAGAGTTACCTTGGCTTAGTGGACAGAAAGTTATGCTTCCAAGCCCAAGGTGGATGATTTTAATCTGCGGCCCTCAGGCCTGGTTTGAACTGGTTTTTGTCGAACATTCTTCTAGGTGGTATAGCACTGGTCTGTGCATTGCTGTACAGAGGTAACTCGTGGTTGCTGTGATGCTGAACACTGTGACACTGATGTGCCAAATGTGATAATGGTTACCCGTGGTGGACAGTGTTTGGTGGAGCTCCCCGATTAAAGCAAGCCTGGAAGCAGGAGCGGCATCCACTTCTGAAATGGCTTGCCTCCAGAAACTCTATAAACAGTGCTCAGGTCTTCCATTCATAGGGTTATCATGAGTCTCATGAGTCGTCTAGGACTCAACGACACCTAACAACAACAACAACATGAGGAATCAGGGTAACTAACTCATAATTGGCAGAGTTAGAGGAACTTTGTAACATTTACCCAAACAGGGCCCGAGCTTAGGCTGAGAGGCCAGCCTGTGCGGGAGAAGAGGCTGTTCTGATTGAACACCTCTCTCCTGAGCATTCATTCCCAACCCTGAATTGCAGCCTGTGGTTTCCCCCAAATCATGGGTATTGTCTGTGAGTTCCACGTGGCCTCTGCAGGGAATTACCCCACAGAGGTGCAGTGAGGCCCATGGGAGGGATGGGAATCCTTGGGTGTGGAGCGTGGGGGTAAGGCACGTCTGACCTTGCTGGGTTAGCTCTGCGCCGTTGACATTGTTAAGAAGGACTTTTCTCCCTTGTGAAGTTAATGGCAGGCAAATGCCACCGTCCCTGCCCCGTCACCGTTTTTACAGTGACCTCGCAAACACCTGAACAAAACACAGTGCGATCTCACGTCGCTGCCCACTCCCTGAGCGTTTGGGTAAATCTCTGTGACCTGTACTCTTTGGCTGAGACTTGGAACCTTCTTATTTGTTCCTCCTGGTCTGGAGGCTCTGCTGGAACCTGTTCAGCGTCCTAGTAACAGCTGGCCTCCACTGGTGGACAGGTGGCAGCTGTGCGTGAAGTGAATTGGCTGGGAATCAAACCCCGTTCTCCCGCATGGGAAACATGGACTCCACCACCGAGCCACTGCTCAGCACAGCGTGCCGATATTTACCATCAAGTATTTACTATCTGCTCCTGGGGACACAGAAACAAAGGTCACATTGTCTTAGCCTCCACAGGATGCCCAGTGTGGTCAGGGATGAACGTGGGTGGTCAATGACACAGGGAGAACAGGGTGGGCTGGAGAGGGGACGCCCACCTCACCAGCCTGGGGATGTCAGCACAGACAGCAGGGAGAGGCACGAGTGGGTGAGGTCATGAAAAGACAGCAATAGTATCTCAGGTGAGAAGAGAGTGGAGGGAAGAGGAGAACATGTTCAACCCAACCTTGGACAGATTTCAGGTTCGGTTCCAGATCAGTGCAATAAAACACGTGTTTCTATAAACTAAGTCATGCAAATTTTGTCCTTTCCCAGGGCACATAAGCTGTGTTTATGTTATGCTGTAGACTATAAGCCCGTGACCATGGCATCTGAGAAAGCTGGAAATACTGTGAGAAAGGCCAAATGGGACACGGAAGGAGACGCAGTGTAAATGGTGCCGGCAGACCTGCTCAGACCTGCTCGACACTGGGTTGTCACAAAGCTTCAGCCTGTAAGATATGAAATCTACCTGAAGCATGATGAGGTCTTCCGGTCTGTAAAGGTGTGGAAATTGCTGGAATCTGTGAATTTGACAGGAAGATGTGGGCAACTCCAAGGTTGATGGGATTCACCCGTCCCTTGGGGGCAGTTGTGAGTCCCTGACTCTGGCTCGCCAACCCCAGAGCAGGCCCTGGAGCCCAGGGATTTTGCTGGGGCCCAGGGGCAAAGGTTGTGTAAGCGCTTTATTGATTTTTAACCTGGTCAGGGGTTGGCCTGTCCATTAAATATTACACGGGAAGTGAGGGTGGGATGGGGACAGGCCGAGGCCCCTGTTCTCCATTGTCTATATGTGAGAGGATTAAACCCACCAACTGCTTGGTGGGAGAATGATAAAGATGATTTACTGCCCTGGAAAGTCAAGCTGCCTGAACCCCTCAAGCTGGGAGCTGGGGTCAACAGATGGTAGAAACCCTGACCCTGGGAAGGCCCAGAGCTCTGAGAGTGAGGAAGATGAGGCCAGGCTGGGATTTAAATGAACCACGAGTTGTAGCCAGCGTTTCCCTGACCCCAGGCAGTGCCACCTGTACAGAAACCCAAACTCGAGGTACAGGACCCCGCTGTCCACGCCTGCCTCTGCTGTGAACACCCAGTGAGGAAGCGGGGCTGGAGAGTAGGGGGGTTGATGTGAACCCCAGCCCTGCCATTCGCTGGACACCAGCCAAGGCTCCTTGAAACCAATAAAAGTGCTGGGGGCGTGGGGGAACCAACAAAAAATATGTAAACTCAATGCCGTTGAGGTGATTCTGACTCTCTCTCTGTACAACGGAGACCATCCGCACCTCACAGAACTGTCTGAACTCAACAGAAACACACAAAGGGCTTAGCTCAAGTCCAGTCACCCAAGCCAAAGGCCAAACCCACTGCCCTCAGTTAGGTCCGACTCACAGCAACTCTGTTGGCACAGAATCTCCCCCACAAGGTCTCGAGGCTGTAAATCTGCACAGGAGTGATGACTCCCCCATCTTTCAGCTGGTGGGTTCAAACCACTGATCTTCCAGTTAACAGTTCAATGCTTACTCCATGGCACCACTAAGGCTCCCTGAAACCAATAAAAGTGCTGAGGGGGGGAAAAAAAACCAACAAAAAATACATAAACTCAGTACCATTGAGGTGATTCTGACTCAGGCACCCATCAAGTCTCTGAGGCTCTAGGTCTCTGTCTGAAAGCCTGCCAGTCTGTCTCCCGTGGAGCGACCTTCTGGTTTGCAGCCCCACACGTTAAGAACGATGCTATCTGAAGAAGGCGGGGATTGTGTCACACTAGAGAAGGACCTGCTTTGTGTAGTCTCCATCTGTTAGATATAAAAAAGAGCGCAAAGGAGAGAAATAAAGAAAGGAATTGGTCCCAAGAAACGAACAGGCCTTTATTGTGTGGTCTGAGAGGGACGCCAAGTGACCCAGCAGCATGGCATGCAGACAGGATCGAAACGGCACATGGGCAGTTTGGGGGAAGTTCCTTTTTATAGCGGTCCTGGGGAGGACTAAGATGGTACTTCTTGGAATTTGGCTTGTTAATTTAGTTAGGTTTTAGCTTGTTTGTTTGTTTGTTTGTTTGTTTTCTCAAGCTCAGACTCTTAACAGAATCCATTGTTTGGTCTGGTCCTTGATGACCAGCTCAGGTGTTCTTAAGTTTCTCAGGAAGTGGTCAAGCTTGGGGGTGGTGGGGCAACTGCCATATTCTCCCTTCACCGTCAGCCCTCCAATCCGTCATGCCAGCCAAGCCTACGTCCTCTTTCTCAGCCCTCTCTCTTAGGGCTGTGAGCTGCTCCTGGGAATTTCCAGAATCTTTCCAGGAGTCCAGTCCACTGCCGTGATTTTACTTTCTTTTCAAGCACAACCCATTTCACAGATGAGGAGACTGAGCTGGCGGGGACGAGAATGAGCCCAGGCTCATGAACACCACCAGCTCACGTTCATTGAGTGCCTGCTGGATTTGGTGAAGACACTTAACCCTCACCACAGTCACCCGTCTGTGGGTCCCTGGCACACAGTTGGAAGTGATGGTGCAGTGGGGCCTTGGGGCCAGAACCCTGAACGCCCAGGCTGGGCTGGGAAAACGGGGTGGGGAGGGGTACCGAGCTGGGTCTGGGAAACCTAGGCTTCCTGGCTCCTAGTCTGGAACTGCCCTTTTTCTGCATTTTACATGTAATTTGGGTGAAAGTTTACAGAACATATTAGTCTTCCACTCAGTGAGTTACATCTACATTCTCTGTTTTGTGGCATTGATTGCAATCCCCTCAGTGTAATGGCACTCTTCCACTTTCCTCCCTGAGTGTCCTGTTTCCAGTAATCCCTTCTTCCCTGTGCGGTTTCTTGGCACCTGTGGCTGCTTGACTCAGCAGCCATTTGTGCTCCATGTTGGTAGAGCTGTCTATCGCCAGAGTTGAGAAGACAGGCTCTTCAGGGTGGGGTGGTCAGGGAGGGCTGCCTGGAGGAGGAGGAGAAGTCACCAATATCCAGTCCACTGGTCTGAGCCCTTTGCCCTGCAAGGTGGGCTGGAGGTGGGGAGGTGACTCGTGCTGGGTTGGCTTGATCCAAGGGACTTGCCCTTTGGTTTACAATGGCCACCTCAGCAGGACCAACCTTTGCCCCCAGGTTAACACCTGTCAGAGGAATAGAGACATCAGCCCATCTCAGAGGCAGAGTCAAAGGACTGGAGCAGTACTGAATCTGTGGCCTCCAGAACCATGGGGACAGGTCCTCGAAGCCAGTCACTGCGAGTACCCCGGTCCTCCTATGGCAAGCTTCAGGAGCCTTGGGGGCGGCCCCAGGAGGGCAAACTCCGCCGGGCACTGAGCCTCAAACAGGGACGAGAGAAATCCGGGCGACAGGGTCTCAATGGAGGCGTGGAACGAGAGAAATCCAGGCTACAGGTCCTCAGCCGAGGCGTGGAAGGGCTGGGAGGCGCAGAAGGGCTGGACTGCTCCAGCCCGGAGCAGCTGCAGGGAAGCCTGGAGGACACGCAACAGCTGATCCAAGCCCAGCGAGGAGGCAGCCGGAGGTGGCTGAGGCAGTACCAAAAGGTATGGGAGAGGGTGAAGGGCAGAGCATGTGGGAGGGAAGGGGTTGGAACCACAGAGGGAGATGAGGCCAGAGATAGCAATCCACAGACCCGCATTTCAGAGGTCCTGGAGGCTTGTCTCATAGGCATTAGGGAGCCATTGAGGGTTCTGGAGCAGGGGAGGCTACTTGGTGGTGATTAATCCAGCATTATGTGGATGGGTGGATGGGGTGAGAGGCAAGGCGACCAGCCAGTACAACTTTCCAAGTCACAGCTGCATCTTCGGCCCTGGCTCGGAGTGGGAGAGGAGGGAACACCTTCTTAGTGGAAATCACTTATTCTTTTTATCCCTTTGGACGAAAATTCAGATTTGTTGACATGAGATCAATTCCAACTCCAAGCTGAGCCTTATGGGGTTTCAGAGGCTGCAATGACATGGAAGAAGATTGTGAATCTTCCTCCCTCTGACCCGCTGGTGGGTTCAAGCCATCAGCTCCCTCTGGACCAGGCCAGCAGAGCTCCCTACAGCTCCCTAACATCATTGCCTCCAGCCCAGGAAGTCTGAACCAACTCATAACTGACCCCTGACCCTCTGCGGGCCTTCAGAGGCTGTAAATAGCATGGAAGGAGAATTCTATCTTTTTTCGCTTGTGCAATGGGTGAATTTAAACCTTTGGGTTTCCAAAGAAACTCCTTACCTACTAGGGCACAAGGTGCCTTCTGAGGCTGCTTCTCTCCATGGAGTCTAGCACCACCTGGTGGCAATGTGCAATACAACACTCCTCACCCGATGGCGTCCTGACCTCCTCACTCATCTCCCTGCAGGTGAGGAGAAGGTGGGACAGCTTCGTAGCCAGCTTCCCAGGTGTCACCCTGAGCCGACCAGCCTCCCCGGAGCCCCCGCTGCACAGCACCAGCTAAGGATGCTGAACGCAGAGGCGATCCCATGGCAGCCGACTGTTCATTCTCATCGCTTCTGGACTGCGGATGGGGCTGGCTTCCCATCCTCATTTCCCCCGTGGCTCTGCTAACCCTGAGCCTCCCGCCCCAGGCACGCTCTTTATGAGGACCCCACAGGACTGAGAGGACGGGCCTCCAGAGGGGCTCTGGGCCTCGGGGCCCCGTGGACTGTGAAGTCATGAGATTCTGAAAAGCTTGCCAGGAAATGGGAGTGTGGACGCCTTTACCCTGTCCCTCCTCCGGGATCAGCATCCAAGATGGAGCTCAGTGAAGCCAGACCCTTGGCTGAGATACTCCGGACATCACCTGGTCCCCTGGCCACAGCCCATGGCCCTTCTCTCCAGCCCCTAGTGGGGCACAGGGACACTAATCTTCCTCTCAGGGGAGTCCCCAGAGGGCAAGGACCACATTTGAGGGCCCTCAGTGCTGCTATCATTCTTCGTCCTGCCCAGCGTCCTGATGAAGCCTTGCACTTTCCCTGTGGCAGATGGGGAAACTGAGGCAGGGAGGGATTTACTATTTTGGTATCTCTGGCCCCACCTGTCCATCCTGTGCTTGCCCCAATAATAAAGAACTGCTGAGCTGATGTCACCTGTTTTTCTGGTAACCAACTTGTCAGGCTGCTCTCCTCTGTCAGCCCTGGAGGACTCTACCCTCCTCTGTCAGCCCTGGAGGACTCTACCCTCCTCTGTCAGCCCTGGAGGACTCTACCCTCCTCTGTCAGTCAGCCCTGGAGCACTCTACCCTCCTCTGTCAGCCCTGGAGGACTCTACCCTCCTCTGTCAGTCAGCCCTGGAGGGCTTCACCACCATCCTGCTATTGCTCTCACAGGAAGAGGCAGGGCTCCTTGGAGGCTCAGGGAGGGCAAAGGGCTGTCCAGGTTCACATAGAAGGGCAGGTCTAGCTCCACAGAGAATGGAAACTCCTTGGAGACCCTGACACTTGGTTGTGGCTCCCATATTGTCATGGTCAAGGGTGAAGGAACAGCTGCCAGCATCCTGTTCTCCTATGATGGAAGGCCTGAGGGTCCTTGGACAGAGATGTGGATGTTTTGTTTCCCGGAGCCTGGCACGCTGGCAGGGCCATGTAGAAACAGGGGTTTCCTGGGAGAGTTTTCCTCCAGATGAGCCCTGGGACTATACAATGGGATGTGGATTTGGAATCTGGACCGTGGGAGCCTGCTGGAAGTGTCAAACCCACTGTCTCTGATTTTAGATGCCCCATGTACAGTACCCCTGATGTGCCTGTGGGCAGCTCAGGACCCTAGATCCACAGCTCTAACCAGACCTTTCAATGTCCAGAGGAGGACACCACGGCTCGGGTGGTAACAGGGCTTCTGGCCCTCCTGGTCTCTACCTTTGAGACTCGGTCTGCCTCTCTGCCCTGCGACTCTCCAATCCCTCTCCTGGCTGTTCCCCCCCTGCTTGCCACCCTCTGTAATGGGCTTGTCAAGTTATAATCTTGTTCCTCCTGCAAAACTAAAGGTTCTGCAAGGGGAGCCTGGTTCACCCCAGTGCTCAGTTCTGGAATTGACACATAGTAGGTGTTCAATAAAATAAATTAAAAAAACCAAAAATCTGTTCTCAAGGACTTCTCCAAAGATACCAGTTTATAGACTAAAGTGTACCTGATCTAAGATACTGTATTTTCAATTTCTTTTTTGTTGTTGTTGTTGTTATGTGCCGTCGAGTCGCTTGTGACTCATAGCGACCCTATGTACAACAGCCCTAAACTCCGCTCTGTCCTGTGCCAATTGCACTGTCTCTGACACTCCCATCCCGATTACCCCAGTCACTGAATCAATCCACCTCATAGAGGGCCTTCTCCTCCTGCGTTGTCCTTCCACCCTCCCATATACATCCAGAATTAGTGAGATATGGATGGTAAAGCGTGGCCTCCCGTTCTTTGGGCCTGTTGTCAGGAGAGGCTAGTCCTGGGAAAAGACATCACGCTGGGACAGACAGAGGGACAGTGAAGAGAAAACCCTCAAGGAGACAGGCTGGCACAGAGACTGGAATAATGGGCTTGAGCATGTCAGAGATCGAGGGGCGGGAGAGAGTAGAGTTCAGATCTGCTGTCTAAAGGTCACCATGAGTCACAGTCCACTCCCTGACACCTGATAACGATAAATTACTGTGAAAGGAACCAGGGGCAGGCCCAAGGTCATCCAGTGGCTTGTTCTGGTCTCCTCAGCACCATTTTGGGGACTGTGTAAACAGAACCTCAGCCCCATCTACAACCCCACACCCAGAGAGCATGTCTGGGCAGAAGTGCCTCCATCAAACACACACACGTACACACTCACATGTGCGAATGCACACACCAGCAGCCTTTTTGTCCCATCTGCATGATGTCTTAACCTCATGATGTCTGTCTCCCCTCGCCTTAAGTCCAGGATGGTCCCGTGACTTGCCCTGACCAATAGAATGCAGTGGCTACTCATGTTCTAGGACTTCAAGGTCTTGTAGCTGCTATTTCTGTCCTCCTGGAAGTCAGCATCCGTGGAGAGAAGGCCCAAGAGAGAGGCTGCATGGAGGAGAATTCAGGCACCTCAACCAACAGTCCAGCCCCACTCCCAGCAGTCTGCAGCCACAGGAGTGACCCCACGTGGAGCAGAAGAACCAGCCGGCTGAGCCCTGCCAGCCCACAGAACTATGACATACAATAAACTCCTGATGCTTTACCCTGCTGGGTTCAGCAGTCTGTCTTTGCTTCCTAGGACTGTCCTAACCAATTACCAGGAATCCTGTGAAGATCACTCCACGAGTGCACTGAGGATGCCTTGTCCTTGGGCCCTGGGACTGCCGCATACATACACACTCCCTTGGCACCCCAGTTTCCCTCATCTGTCAAGGTGGGGCGATAATCTTGCTAGTATTTGGGGTGGAGTGAGGTGATGTGTCAAGGCTGAGCTGGACCAGGGCCAGATTCAAACCAATGAGAAGGACGAGGAATCTGGCAGCTTCAAGAGGGCCAGTGTCTGAATCAGCAAGTGCGCAAACCTCAGAGGACACCTCTCCCCTGGTGTCCCAATATCGCAGGTGGGTGTGCAAGGACCTGGCTCCGGACAGAGGCCTGCCACGGTGGTGATGAGCTGACCCTATGCGGCAAGACCCAGTGAACTAGAATCCCTTGTCTCTCAAGTTGACTCAGTGTTTGCTCAGTCGCTGTAGAAGGACGTTTTTGTTGCATCTTGCTTTTATCCTTCTTTCTTCCACATCAGCAGTCTTCTTTTCTCCAAGCCACGGAATCTCAGTGTCTTGGAATCAGCAGCTGAAGGGAGTCTAAGAGGATCCTCTGCCCTGTCCCCACTCCACTCTCTCAGCCTCTCCCTGACTGTTTCCAGGATTGAAGGACTCACTCTCATCAGGCTCTGATATGTGGCCAGGTCCCTCAAGGAGCTCACCCGTGGTCTGGCCAGAGGGACAGACAGACAGACAGATAGACAAGTTATGGGCTTCTCTGCTAGAGGCAGTGTTTTCTATGCTCAGCAGGGCAGCACGGCCCAGGGTGGCATGATGAGGGAGATGTCCACCTTGTCCATCTGCAGAGCTCTGTGCGCCGCTGAAACTCATCCCAGACCCTGTGACCTGCAGCCCCACCAGGTGGAAGGAGGCCTGGAACATGTGAGAAAACCCCTGCAGGCAGAACCCAGACCCACTTCCCAGGAGCAGATTCCAATTCTGGCTCCCAACAGCCTTGTAGAAGAGAGGGGAATTTCCTTAGGGTTTCCCAGTCTGTATCCTTTTTAAAAAAAAATTTTAACATTGAAAAAAATTTTGTTTTGATTTTTATTCATTGTTGCACATTTTCTCCCCCAGCCCTCTCCACAATGCGGCACTTGTTCCAGATTATTGTCATACATATAATGCTTAATCATATATCCCTTTTGGACAATTCTTCCCCTCATCTGATGCAGTGTTCACTCTTCTCCCATTCTCTCCCCAACACCCCTCTCGTCTGTCTTATTTTAGAACAGCAGTGTTATGCAGTGTTTGTCCTTTTGTGAACGAGATACTTCGCTCAGCATAGTGTCCTCCAGGTTCCCTCATGTTGTGTATTGTTTTACGAGTTCATACTTTTTCAATGCTGTGTAATATTCCATTGTGTGAATGTACCAAAGTTTTTCTATCCATTCATTTGTTGCCGGGCACTTGGGTTGCTGTTGTGAATAACGCAGCAATAAACATGGGTGTGCATACATCTGTTTGAATTGTGGTTCTGGTTTCTCTAGTGTATATTCCCAGTAATGGAATTGCTGGGCTCAATGGTATTTTTATTTCCGTCTTTTTGAGAAACCACCAGACCACGTTCCATAGTGGCTGTACCATTTTATATTCTCACCAGCAGTAAGAATAAGAGTTCCAATCTTTCCACAACCTCACCAGCATTTGTTATTCGTTTGCCGGTTGAACTTTGCTATTGTTGCTGTCTGTATCCGTATGGAAGGAAACTGTCAGTCTTCCTCTCCTGAAGCAGCTGGTGGGTTCCAGTCACCAGTCTTTCATTAGCAGCTGGACTACTGTGACACCAGGGCATCTCGGCAGGAGCATCATTGAGGACACAACAAGGTGAGCAGGACACGGCGTCCCCAGAGCCTCTCAGGCCGAGGCTGAAATACGAGTATTCAACAGATCTAGTAGGTCTATTTCACAGGTAAAGAAACTGAGGCTTCCAGACAAGCCAGTGGCAATGTGGTGCTGTCACCCAGAGCCCCACTTCCCAGCCCCAAGTTCCCCACCACAAGCCCTTTTCTGAGGCATTGGGCTCAGCATGTGCAGCCAGTCAGGAAGCCAGGAGGGCCCAGGCCTGGGGGTCAAAGCCAAGTTCAACCCTCATGCTGCATGCAGCTAACTTGCTGATGATTTTGAATGAATCCTTCTCTTCTTCTGGTCTTAATGTTCTCCTCTGTAAAATGGGTGACTGTGATCTCTGCCTCCCAGCGGCAAGATTTTGAGCGG